TGTCTTCCTATTAAGTGCAAGCTATTTTTTTCACTTATGACATGCTTTTTTTTCTATTAATAAATAATGCTCCTGACTTCTTTCAGGCCTCTAAAGCTTATCTACTGTTGTATTGTATTAATTAATTAATATTAATGGCCCAGAGAGGTCTTCAGCCAGTTATTTAAGAATACTAGAAATCCATATTTTCATTTTAAAAAGAATCCAAATGTAGTAACCTCTGTTCAGTACTCTTTTTAGTCAATATTGGAGTAGAAAATACTGCATCGCTGTGAAGTAATCTCGCACAGATATCCAGCTCATTGGTTGATGTCAATGCAAAACCTCTCTCGATGATTTTTGAACAGTCTTGGGAATACAGAGAGGTCCCAGCTGACTGGAAACTGGCAAACATTGCCCCAGTTTTCAAGAAGGGCAAGAAGCAGGACCCCGAAAACTACAGGCCTGTCAGCTTCACTTCAGTGCCTGGCAAAGTCATGGAGAAGATTATTCTGGGAGGTATTGAAAAACACCTGAAACACAATGAAGTCACTGGTCCCAGTCAGCACAGCTTCATGAGAGGAAAGTCCTGCTTATCCAACCTGATTTCCTTTTAAGACAAGGTAACCCACCTAGTTGATCAAGGGAAGCCAGGTGATGTCATCTTTTTGGATTTCAGTAAAGCTTTCGATACTGTCTCTCACAGGATCCTTCTGGACAAAATGCCCAGCACACAGCTGGATAAACACATCATGTGGTGGAGGAACAATAGGTTCACGAGTCAAGCATTGAGGGTAATAATGAATGAGGTAACATAAGACTGGTGTCCTGTCATTAGTGGGGTTCCACAGGGCTCCATCTTAGGCCCTGTGCTCTTTGACATCTTCATAAATGACTTAGATTCAGAGCTGGAAGGGATACTAAGCAAGTTTGCAGATGTCACAAAACTGGGAGGAGCTGTTGACTCTCTCAAAGGCAAGGAGGCCCCACAGAGAGACCTTGACAAATTAGAGGACTGGGCAGTCACCAACCATATGAAGTTCAACAAGGGAAAGTGCCAGATTCTGCATCTGGGATGGGGCAACCCTGGATGTTCGTACAGACTGGGGAATGAGATGCTGGAAAACAGTGCGATGGAAAGGAACCTGGGTTTCCTGGCTGACGGCAAGTTGAATATGAGTCAACAGCGCCCTGGCAGCCAGGAGGGCCAACTGTGTCCTGGAGGGTGAAGGATCTTGAGGGGAAGCCGTATGAGGAGCAGTTGAGGTCACTTGGTCTGTCCAGACTGGAGGAGACTGAGGGGAGACCTCATTGCAGTCTACAACTTCCTTGTGAGGAGGAGAGGCAGGCACTGATCTCTTCTCTCTGATGATCAGTGACAAGATCTGAGGGAATGGCCTGAAGCTGTGTCATGGGAGGTTTAGGCTAGAAATTAGAAAAAGGTTCTTCACCCAGATGGTGGTTGGGTGAACAGGGAACAGGCTCCCCAGCACCAAGCCTGACAGTTCAAGAAGTGTTTGAACAATACTCTTAGGCATATGGTGTGACTCTTGGGGATGGTCCTGTGAAGGGCTAAGGGTTGGACTTGTTGATCCTCCCTTCCAACTCAATATATTCTCTGGTTCTGTGATTCTGTGACTCTGTGCTTCTGTGATCTCACCTACCCTTGTGGAATCATGGGGTACACTATCCTATATAAGTATCTTGGCTGATAGAAAATAAAGCTGAAACTAAATGAGACTCCACACTTTTATGTGACTGGCTCTTCATGTTGGTAGCAACTGGGCAAACAGAACAGATGGATTGGTTTGGGAAGAAGTTAGGAAAACTCCAGTGACATTAAGGGAAAGAGGATTTAGTAGCAAGGCGCAATACAAAATCAGTTTGCATATAGAATGATTATGTAAAGAACCACAAACTGTTTTTCTTACTGAAAAACAGTAAAACCTCTCTTACTCAAAACTTTAAAAAATTATGAGAGAAATGAATGTTTTAAACTAAATTACACTATTTCTCTACCTGATCATTATGGGATTGGAAATCTCAGAGGATTTTCAGAGTAGACTCCATGGATAATTCATTTTCAAATAGACAAAATAGGTATTAAATACTTATAAATAAGTTTTACTATGTCCCTAGAGTCTTTGCTGTGAGACAGCTGGTCTTATAAAATATAAAACAAAAATTTGGTTTCAAAAAACCAGAAGAGTTTCTTCTTTTTTTTTTTGTCTTTTTAAACAGAAAAACATTCTATAATTAAAGTGATTTAATTCCTGAAAGGGTATTTTCTTTATGTATGACCATTATCACCACAGAAATCAGTCTCAGACAAGTTAAACAGAGCTGTTAAAGCCAGGCATGTAGGCAGTTGGGGAAGGAAGCTGTGTGAGAGACAAAAGGTGGAAAAAATATTTACATGTTTACAACAGCTAAGTGATGTGTAGCTAACTGATATTGTTAGTCTCACATGATCTTACAGAAGTCCTTCCCATAACATAGACCTACTTTATCAGATCATCCTAAACTGTCAGTCATCTCCTGAGGCTCACTCAGGTGTTGGGGATTGAAATTGTAAATTCTACGTTTGGTTTGGTGTATTTTATATGTATTATGCTTTATTCTTTACATATGTGAATCCTGTATTTTCATTGGTCAATTTTTGGTGCAGTGTCATGCATATTTATGTTTCTCTTTGTATGGTCATTATTTGAATGCTCTGCCTTAACTCCACCCTTTGTTCTAGCACCTTCCCTACCTTGCATTATATAAGGCGGGAACCATTTTGTGTTACAGCTCTTTCTACCCTGACCCCACACCTAAACAGTTCTCTTCCCTTGAAGACAATAAAACCTTCTAGCTGCCTTCACCCCAAAAGGTTGCAGGCTTGGTTTCTTTTCTGTGTCTATTCCCTGCACTCAGGTGTACAGACTATGATGGTAACTTGCCCATGTGTAGGCATCTAGACGGAGTTACCAATGTTTAGGTATGTTAGGGTGGAATTCCTGTTGCCTACATACAACCACTGGAATTTAAATGGGATATATCAGTCAGATAGATGAAGGACCTTTGAGAGACATTCACAGCCCTGTGCTGGCAGCTGAAAACCATGAAGACCTCAGCACAAGGTACCTTATGCCAGGACAACTGAATCTTACATCTGATATTCCAAGCTGTTTGTCTAGGTACCACTTTGTAATAAACAAGATAATGTTGCATTATCTAGAAGTCAAATCTAAGTTCCATTTGGCCTTACTTGCATAATAAATCTAGGGATGCCATTTCAGGTTTTTTCTCCCTTTAGATTAAATTTTAAGGCAAACACTGTCAAATTTCCATATCAGAGGAAAAAAATTAAGAGGAAATGAGTCCTGTGAGTCAAAAAATATAAAAAGTTACTCCACATACAGAGTAAACACATAGGAGTGTAGTCTGTTGTGCAATTTGATAAAGGAGAAGTTCATTATCAACAATCTATTTATTAATGAAACAGACAGGAAAATCATGAAAGTAAAGTCATATCAGAGATATTGTTCTCCTAAGCAGAATTCTGAATGTGTTTTTCATTAGCAGAAGGGTATAGATAATAGTAGATAACAACTTGTAATGTCAGTAGGGACAGATGTTTTCTAAAATGTAAATAAAATGTATTTGAGAAGCTATCATCAACAGGAATTTGTCTTTCCTGAATTAAGCATATTACTGGTTTTGCTCACTGTAATTAAGCTTTTCACTATCAACTGCCCCACCATTCAGGCAGAATTCACTCTATTCACATCATAAAAGACTTCTTTAAAAAAAAACAATTTATTTAATTTGGCAGCTTAGTGTACAATAATAGAGTTTAATATTGTTGATTCTGAATTTTAATTCTTTGGGTTTCCTCTTCACTCTTGTTGGCAATAACTCCTTGTACCTGGTAGAAAAAGTTACATTTGAATAAATTCCCCAGCAGATTCTATTTTGTCATTTGTAGTAAATTTATTCACCTTTTTCCCCTAGGGGGTAATCCTACGAGCTAATCTCACCTTTTAAAATTTACTTTGTTCTTTATTTGGCCCCAAAAGTAGATGTTATCTGAGTATTTTTTGTTGGGCAAGTTTTCACAGCTTTCCCCCTAACTTAGGCAGACTTAAGTTAGAAATTTTCATTAATGTACTTGTGCAATTCTAGTTTGTTCTTTTGCAGTAATAACAAAAAGATTATTAAATGGAAGAAATAATTTGAAATCTCTGGTCAATCTCTGAAAAAAATAAACTTACCAATATCACACAAGATGGGAAATCATCATAATCATGAGTCATCTCTTGAGATTAAATCTCATGGTTAAGTACAAAAGATTAGGGCTTTGTGGTTAAGTACAAAAGGCAAAGACCTCCATTTGATCAGGTTCCATTTCAGGCAGGTCCTCCCTACGTGGCTCAGCAAAAAGCAAACTATCTTACTACTTTGTGCCAGTGACTTCCAGTCTCCCATTTGTGAGTACCAGTGTGGGATGATGGACAGAGCTAAACCTAGAGGGGATTCAGAAGCTGCAACTGCATGGATGGACTGAGGTCCACATGCTCCCCAGTACAACGATAAACATCTGCTCAGAGAAACAGAACAGAGTGTGAAACAAAGTGGAGACTATGTGGCCCCCCTCCATTCTAATTCCAGCAGAATGGGAGAACATTGCAGTACTAAGACCGTACAGTACCTGTCTGATAAGGGAGAATCAAGATGTTCTGCTGCTGAAGCCAACAACCATGTCGAATCCCCTCCTGAGGTGCCAAACCACGACCACCACCCCCCCGCCCCCATTAGGTACACCAATCAGAAATAAAAAGTATTTGTGACTAGAGCCACTCAAACTCCACCCAAACATAAAGAAAATTGTACAAAAATAAGTTAGGGATAAGGGGAAAGGGAGAGAAGACCTTCACCAAAACTACTGGGATCAGTCTATGGGCTGAGTCCGTCTTCTCCCCCCACAGAGGGATGCCTTGGGTGAGAAATACTCTCAACGCACGGTAAATGCTGCTTTTAGGACTAGAGCTTTTGCTTGTGCTTATCCCATAGCATACTATTAGTTCGTATCAGAACTTGTGCTTGCTTAATATATGTATCAGTAAATTGCTTTAAACGTATTTTTGCAGTAGACACTATCACTGACAACCTTCAAACCCTATTAATTTGTCACAATTTGTATTAATAAAAAAGTGTTATTCCATAAACTGTTAAAATGAGTCCTTGCAGTTGCCGGCAGCAGATGACACCTTGGCAAAACTCGCTGAGGGGTCCTGGCTTTTTTGAGTTCCCCCTAACAAGGGAGGTTGAGGTACTCTCCAATCTTGTGAATCTGTTGGTGAAGGGTCTTACGAGACGCTGACAGACTGTTGGGCACCAGTGTCTCAACTTTCCTGGGGGACTGAGGAGCAAAAATCTGAATTCCCACCTTTATGTGACAACCAGCCAGACCACAGTGATCTCTGAGCAGGCAAGTGGGAAGCCTTGGGTCCACCTCTCCCCTGCAGAATCAATGCATACAGACCTCCTATGTTAACAGTCCTGAAAACCTAGGCTTGTCCAGCAGTCTCCAGCTACTCTGTCCTCTGAAAGGATTCATGTCACCATCTGTAATAAAAGCAGGTTCAGAGTTCGAAGAGTAAAACTCTTTCTGGAGAACTGAATTCTTATTGTCTCTGGTCAAGAAGTTACTCCTCACCCAACACCTTATTTCCTTATTAACCGAACTGTGTACTACTTCTCTACCCCAAAGCAAGTCTTCCTTTATTTTATGACCATGAAGAACTAGCTGTCCAGACCACAGCTGAGAAAACTGAAATGTCAGTATATGGGCTGCTGCCTTTTATCCATTCTTCTTTTCATGTCCCTGTCAGTCATTTCCTCTTGATGTACTTCTCTCTTTCCTTGGCCTACAAGCATTCAAATGTTTTGTCATGAGAATATGGTCCATTCTTTTTCCAGTTATTGGTTAGCCATTCAGCTTGAGGTGTTTTTACCTGTACAGAAACAATTATTTCAGGAGTGTTTAGTAGGATCTTGGTGGTAGTGCTAAACTCTGATTTTCAGTTGCTGATTAGTTATATGTTTGAAAGATGGATGGTTTCAGAGAGTCTGTTATGATCATACACAGGTTTAAAGCCTCTACAGGTGTCTTCAAGATCTACTACCTTTCTCATCCATGCTGTGACAGAAAAATAAACTATTGACTTCCTCTTCCTGCCTCTGCAGGAATTCTGCTTCTGCTGTCATTTATATCAAATAAAAATAAAAACTTCAAGATCCCTGGGCCTGCTTTAGTCTAACATTAGCATTAAATTACCATGCTTTCCAGATAGCTTTTTAATTTTTACCTCTGGAGATTAAATGTTATTAAGAAATTCATCTTCTTACCAAATATGAATAAATGTGTCTCAACACAGATGTCATATCCTGCATGCCACTTTAACTGCAAGACTCTAAGAGAAAAAAGAAAAAAAAGAAAAGTCACCTTTCTCAGAACTGCCTGGCTTATCTTTTTTAGAAAAAAGGAGCAAAATGCTAGGACGAATTTAAAGCTTCAATCCTATCAGTTCATGGTTGAATGCCTGAGCTAGAAGAGTCCACATGCTATAACCTATGTTGCTGGCAGGTCAAAGGACTGTGCTGCCCCAGAGAAGCTGGATGGAAGCAGTCAGGAAAGACATTATTAGTGGGCTAATTCTCCATATTCATCATTGGATGTAAGACTATCCTGACCCTGGTTTTCTGCAGACACCCTCACACTGTGGATCATCACAGGTAAGAGTCTAAGATATATCTATTTGGGGACAGAAATAAATCACATCCTGGAAGAGACCCTAGCACACAATGTGTATGTTCACTGTATTTGTATTACACTAAATCTTTTTTCTTAAGTTGACAACACTGAGATCATAAATTACACATGCAGGAACCCAAATTTTTAGCACAGTATGATTATCACTTCACAGGAATTATTATCCTTTCTCTTGTTTGGGGTAATTTATATTCCGCTAGCAGTAGACTGGCACACTTTTGTACTGGAACTATTTTAAAGTACACCTGGGGTTTTTTTATAAGATCCTGCACACTTAATTTACTAAATTTTTATATTTTTATCTTTAAAAAAAGTTATTTGCTATTCACTTGATGGGAGTACTTTTAATTTCACTGCATTGTAGCAATGTATAAGCTGTATTGTCTTTTTTCTTTTTTTTCAAAGTTAGATAGCACTTTGTTTTATTAGCTGAACAGAAGTGTATTATTTGCCAAATTTGTGAAATACAATGCTGGCTGCTGACTGTGTGCTATTTACCTCAGGTAATAATAAGGTGCTCAATCTGCTTTTTCCTGAAGATTGGTACATAACAACCTGCTTCTATGACATGATAATCATGACAAACACATACCCAACAGGAATCTTCCACAGCATAGATAAATCTACACCTCACTGAAAGAACAGTTTCACAACCATGGTATTGTCCCAGCTTGCTGATGACCTAGGAGCTTCTTCTGATGGCACACTCCCCCTATGACCCTATAAGTAAAATGTTAATGTGCCACCTAATTTGGATACTGTCCTTGAGGCATGTCGGGAACTGTGCTTCCAATTCACTGTTCGGATGGCAATCTTTCCATGAAGGTTGATTTTGGGATAGTCTCAGAATTTTGGGATCGTCTCTAGAATTTGAATGTGCCCTTCTGATGGATACCTGCTAAACTATAGTTTGACAGCTTGTGACAGAAACTGACACTGAAATTAAATTATAGGCTTTCAGTGACAGCTGAATACAGCTCCAGACAAACTATCTCAAAAAAAAGTTCTAGGACAGCTATAACTGAAACAAAGAACTGCACAGAAGAGGATAAAAAGGGTCATCCAGCCTATAGGATGGCTTGCATCTGAGAGGAGCTCCATTAATTTGACGATTTTGTTTTAAAAGGAGAGAATCAGAAAGAATAGAGAAAGATATATTAAAGGACTATCAGATCATTAAAGGCATGGAGATGGTGAATGGGGAACATCTGCTTACTGTTTCTCATAACACTAGGGAATGTCCAGTCAGATGAAGAAACTACAAACAAATTGTCATGCAGAGTTATTCATATATTACTTTGGGTTAGAGCAGACAACTTTGCAGCCGTCATTACAGGCTTGGAACTTTGCTAAGGGAAATAACCTAATCTAAGGATCAATCAAACAAGTTAGTCCTCTAATGCTGTATAAACTGATCTGCAAGGGACTACGAAATCCTAGATTCCCAGTAGTCAGACAGAATTGGAACCAACTCGAAGTCAACCATATCTCTTAACCAGATTATACTCATGAATTCATTTTTTATTTAAAAAACCGAGAACATGGAAACGATGCTGAAGGGGAAAAGGCACACATGGACAATGGTAGCTGCTATTCTCTTGTAAACAAGTGCACTCAAGAACAATTGTGATTTCACGTGATGAGATTCCTTTCATCACATACTTGTGCATTTAGAGTACTTGAAACATTTAGCTGCCTTCTTCATTTTTTAGGATTAATATATGAAGGTTGTTTAAGTACCCCTTAAACCAAACATGGTATAAAATCTAAGTCCTCCCACTCTCCAGTCCATTTAGCTATAAATCACAGTTGTTGTCTGTGAATTCAATGCACAAGCTGATTACTGGGGTATTAATGAGGTGGTTAGATATTACTTGTGTTGCAAAATATGTGATTACTGAAATTCTATAACAAGCTAAAGGAACTGTCTGAGCTGCAAAGAATAGAGTGGTTTAGCCAGCATGATGGATGTATGGAGTTTAATGAGAGAAATACGCTTTGCGCGTCTGCATTAGAGACTATGCATTAGTCAGAACCAGGCTGCATGATCGTGAAAACAAACTTGACACTCTTTTCTCTGTGTTGCAGCTGGCACATATAACCAAAGAATAACTCTTCTGATTGAGATAAGAGGAGAGGAATGAAATAACTTGATTCTGGGATGCAATGCTCTCTCCAAATTGAGAATCAGTAACAGAGAGCACTAGGGTACTGGCAGCTACCCATCTGTGCCCTCGGTTATGTATTGAGCAGTAGTATAAATAAGGATTTTAATCAAAAGAAACAATCAGCTCTCAGTTGTGACGCTGTGACACTGAAATTCTTGCTGGAAGGTCTCTCCAACCAAATATCTGAGTGATGCCTTGGAAAAGGATCCTGAAGGGAAGCTGGAGAACAAAGCTATCATCTCAGCTCAGAAGTGACAGGCACTTCATTTACTTTTTCTTCCTCTCTTTTTTCTTCTTTTTTGTTTTATTTCTTATTTCTGTTTCCTTTTGCTGTTGTTGGGGTTTGAGGGGGATTGGTTTTTTTCTTTTCTTTTCTTTTTTTTGTTTGGTTTTTCATTGGTTGCTTGGTTTTTTGTTTCCCCTTCTTTTCACTCTTTTCTTTGTTTCCAATTCTACAAGCAGTTACCTGGACTGTGTTTTCCTGGGATAAATTTATTTTCCACCGCAATGTTTGTCCAATAATTAGCCTGATCTCCAAATGAACTGCCCACTAAATAGCACTCTTGTTTTGACAGAAATGGAGAATCTGATCATAGCATAGTCTGACTTATTTTCAAGCTGTGTCTAGAGGAACAGTTCATTCCTTGTCATCTCAATCTGTTTAATGTTGCTTTGTTTCTCTGAAACTTGGTTTGATTCCAGTCAAAACCCAGGACAGAAAATGTACTTCCCAATCTCTTCTCCACTTCTGCAGTGAGCATTGCATGATGCTAGTCTTTCATATGCTGCCATGCAGCACATGGGGAGAACCCATGGGGAGATTCCTGAGCTTCTTTGGATCAGCTGGGCAGCATGAACCCACCAGCTGGTCATGGGCTAAAGTGGTGATATCCATTATGGTTTTTGATATTCTCAGGTTTGTCATGAAGCTGCCAGATTCAGACAATCCTGAGAACAGAGAGACTCAGAGAACCATAGAAATGCACACAAGCAAACACAAAAGACATGTCTTGACGGACATGCATTCAAAAGAGGCTACAAAGAGTCACAGCTGTAGTTATTCCTGACTTGTGACACTGGGTGGTTTTTTTCTGGGGCAGTCTGAAGTTGCAATAGTAGTAAATATCAATAACATTAATATCTATTGCCACATTGTACAGGGTTTGGCCAGGATAGAGTTATTTTTCTTTGTAGTAGCTTCTTGGTACTGTTCTGCATATGTGACCAAAACAGTGTTGATAACACAGTTGTTGCTGGAAAGTGCTTACACAGGGGAGCACTTTTCTGCTTCTCCTGCTGCCCTGCCATCCAGCAGGCTGGGATAGAAGAAGCTGGGAGGGAACACAGTTAGGACAGTTGAAACCAACTGACCTACAGGATATACCACAACGTACAATACTATGCATAGCAATAAGAGTTACGTCTGCCTTCCCAAGTAACTGATACAGCTGATGGAGCTCTGCTGTTCTGGAGACAGCTGAACACCTGCCTGCCCATGGGAAGTAGAGAATGAATTTTTATTTTCCTTTGCTTGCATGTGCAGCTTTTGTTTTCTATGAGTTTTCTCAGTTTTTCTCTTGTGATTTTTCTCCCCACCTCACTGGAGGAGAGCAAGCGACAGGCTGTGTAGGGCTGAGTTGCCTACTAGCACCACTACTTCTGGCCTCCTTTGATTTTTCACAGCACTACATGGAGACAGATTTGGGCTATGTAGAAGTTACACATCTTCACATGGAAGGATCAATTAATATTGCCAGGGGGTAAGAAGCATTTTGAAACACCTGGAAATAGTATTTCAAAATACTTTTTAAAAATAGCATTTAAAAATACTACTAATAAAAGCTTTCATCATTATTAAAAATATGCATTTGAGAAGATATTAACACTGAAAATTTTATGTTGTTTCATAGAACATACCTAATTGCCAACATTTTTAATTTATCCTTAAATTTATCTCCCATCTCACATTTTCTTCTTATTGCAAAAGTATTATTCATGCAGGGAAAAAAGGCCAGATATTATAGGGTTAAATCACATTTTGTTCCTGTTTTATCACATAATATATTCTCAAATGCCTGGTGACAATGCACATAATTACTTTTTAATTTTTTTTCAAGCACCTCTCATCTGGGAGTACAGGGTAGCCTAAACAACATCCTTTATAAATATTACATGGAAGAGCTCCTGACTATTAAGATTAAAAGCTACTTATTTCAGCATACCTCGCTGAAAGGATAAGCTGTCATTTTTATAATAGAATCCAAATCCTGTTTATTTGTTTCAGCTGGTGCCTGCATGAATCAAAGGCACTGGTGGTAATCTGGGATTCATGGGGTTGCACTGGAAGTGTTTGACAAAATCTGCTAAAAAAAATTCTGATCACATATGAAAATGTAGTAGTAGATTTTCCAGTAGACTTTATGCAGTACAGTTCACCTGCAGACCATAGTTGAGAGGAGCATGGATTCATGCTGTCACAGATGAGCACGTGGAAGTGAAAATCAGCACCCTTGTTCCCCTGTCTGAGTCTGGGTATTGGGTTTGTGCAGCTAGGCTACAGGGGTGGCTTCTGTGAGAAACTACTGGAAGTTTCCCCCATGTCTGGTAGAGCCAATGCCAGACAGCTCCAGGACAGACCCGCCTCTGGCCAAGGCCAAGCGAAGGCCAAGCGAATCAGGAACGATAGTAACACATCTGTGATAACATATTTAAGAAGGGAAAGAAAGTTACTGGGCAGAGGAAATTTGCAGCCAGTGAGAACACGTGAACAACAATGCAGACACCAGGGTCAATGGAGAAGAAGGGGGAAGAGGTGCTCCAGGCACCAGAGCTGAGGCCCTGCAGCCCGTGGTGTGGACTGTGGCGGAGCAGCTGTGCCCTTGCAGCCCATGGAGGACCATTGGGGTGCAGAGACCCACCTGCAGCCCTGGATGAGACCCACGCTGGAGCAGGTGGATGCCTGAAGGAGGCTGTGATCCTGTGGGAGGCCCATGCTGGAGCAGAGTCCTGGCACAGACTCATGGAGAGAGGACCTCACTCTGGAGCAGGTTTCCAGGTAGGACTTGTGACCCTGTGGGGGCCCATGCTGGAACAGCCTGGGCCTGAAGGGCTTCACCCCATGGAAAAGTGACCCACATTGCAGCAGATTGTGAAGGACTGTTGCCTGTGGGATGGACTCACGATGGAGAAGTTCATGGAGGACTCTGTCCCATGGGATGGACCCCACACAGGAGCAGGGGAAGGACTCTTGTCTCTGAGCAGCAGCAGAAACAACCTGTGATGAACTGGCCACAGCCCCCATTCCATGTGTCCCTGAGCCACTGGGGGAAGAGGGAAGGGCGAGGGGTGGTGTTTTTAAGATTTCTTTTACTTCTCCTTATTCTGCTCTGATTCTATTAGTAATAAATTTAATTAATATCCCAACTTTGAGTCTGTTTTGCTGTGACAGTAATTGGTGAGTGATCTCTCCCAGTCCTTATCTCAACTCATGAACCCCTCACTATAGTGTCTTTCCTCTGTCCAGATGCAAAAGGGAGCGATAGAGCAACTTTGGTGGGTACCTGGCGTCCAGCCAGCGTCAACCTGCTACAGTCTGGAAGTTAAGAGGAAAGGGAAATTGAAAACTGGTTTAAAGGTGACTTTGGAACTTGTGCAATTGATTCTGCAGGCTCCAGTTCTGCTTCAGTAGTCCTGCCACAAACTACCTGGTTGTGGTAAAACCTCAGAGCCCCCAAGTTTCAAGTTGTTTCATGAGTTTATTCTCCCTTCCTACACTCCTTCAGTTTACTGCAGCTCTGCTTTCCTCTGCCACCCTTCAGAAGCTCACTGCACTGCAACGTCTGAGGAGGGGACTGTGGCTGCACTGAGGTCTCTGTGCTCCTTTGACCTCTCAGAAACCATTGCCTTGTTGTATTAACTTCCTGGGAGGTTCTGGTTAACAACCCAGGCCCAGGTGTTGAATTTTTAGGCTTTTTTTCCTTATTCTTATTCTTATTCTTATTCTTATTCTTATTCTTATTCTTATTCTTATGTGTCATCTCATGACAGGAAAGCAGCTTCAAGACATGCAAATTCTAATCTCCAGCTGCCTATGATTCAATTCCAAGGAAAATATATCTGCTTACAGCCTTGTAGATTTGGGAATTCTTTATGAAAAAATTTCAAATGCAATTTCTTGGAGCATATCTGTACTTCCTCTCTCGCTACCCTTCCCTCCCTGCCCCCCTCTTCTCCTCATACTGCAAGGTAATCTTAAAAAAAAAAAAAAAAGAAAAGCCACCTAGCCTTTCCCCCATACCATTTTCATTTATCTTCTGAGCAAGGCAGTATACAAATGCAGTGCAGTGTCGCTCACCTTTTGAACAGCTTTTCTTCTGTTCAGGTTTATTTATCTTGGTTTGCTCTGCCACAGGACATTCTGTCATTATTAATTTCAGAAAATAACTCTTATTCCTCTAGATCAAAGAAGAGACACTCCTTATAAAAGCTGGTGCGCTGGTTGCCTTCCTGATCCGTCCTTGTGATCTCGCACTGACAGCATCTGCAGTGACTGTGCTTCCTGTTTTCAAGCCTATGGAGCCAGCCTTGTCCCAAGGGGCCTGATGCCAATCTCCACATCCCATAGGAGGTCCAAAGGATCTGTGTCATCAACAGTATTAGCAACTACTGATGAGCCAGCTGTATTGGTCCCTGCAAAGAGCTGTGGTTCAGCAGCAGCAGTACTGTCTGGGGGGATAGACAAATACTTGACTCTCATTTTGCAGCCTGTCAGGCACAAATCATGAGGTTCAGAAGAACAGCTCTTCAGAACCACTCAAAATCGCTTGCACTTCTCAGACCAGATCTAAATGACAGGAAAAGAGTACAAATCTCCATGTGGATACCAGCAGACAGCTTTCCTGTCTGTTAAAGTCTTCTGGGAAATACAGTCTTTATAGCTCTCTGTAAATAAGTTTTACTGTAGATGGTAATTTCAAGAAAAATTTTAATGTTGTACATGCAAAGATTTTTTAAACATAGAATAATTTATCTGACAAACACAGAGATGGAAATGTGGACCAACTTCTTAGTATGCTGTGATATCCTCAGAGGAAGCACACCATTATATAGTTGTATGATGTGGAAACAGCTCTTGAGAGAAACCAGATACTTAGCAAATGACATAGCCTAGGTTCTGGAAATGATTACCAATGCATGAGAATCTGATGTTATGTTCCCTTGACATTATGTTCCCTTGATGTGAGGTTGACAAGTACCTACTTGTGCATGCTACCAAGCTTATGTCTGGCTGGAAGTGTGATTCTTTACCCAATTCAGCCCATACAGAGGAGGGTAGCTACACTGAAGTTTGAAATTTAGAAATGTCAGATCCCTCCTCACACTACTCTTGGCTACTAGACCTTACTAGGCAAAGAAAAAATGAAATGATGGATGAGTTGACACTTGTGCACTCAACAAAGAAGGTACAAGAGGAAATTCTGGCTGTTCTCAGCAAAAAAATTCTCTACATTATGACCCTTGCCATGTCCTTCTGCTTGGGCAATCACTTATATCCAATAACATGTTAGGAGCTGATCCTTGTAACAAATGCATTGAATGAATCTCAGCTACCTCTGACAAAAGTAAGATTTGAGATGTTCACTTATTCCTGAAGAGGCCGACTGTACCACTAACTGGCTCAGCAGAGGACTCTGCTTGGCACATAGTTCTGCTGTGTTTGATAGAAGCAAGCAGATTCACCACAATCCATTCTCATTTTTATTTTTCTGTATCATAGGGCAAATTAAATGTTCCAATTCTTCTATCTCATTTCAAGGATTTTGATTGCCAGGTAGAAGAGAAATGGTTGATTATTCTAAATAATTAAAGAATTTTCTACTATGAAAAACTTCGCATACTTTGCAAATTGAGATTCATAATTCCTGAGTTAAAATGATTTAATTGTTTGACCATAGCTAGTGCTTTTTTCATACAAATATTAGAACTTGACCATATGTGTCATTTTTGTAACAGATAAGATAGGTTTGATATTTGCATAAGTTCAACTTGGGACAATAGGTGTATTTACTGTTTACATAAGATGTCAAAAATTATGCAATAACTAATTTTTTACTGCCACCTTGTGGTGCTGCAGGCTTTTGATGACAAAAATGAAAGAATGAAAGCTTATGCAAACCAAACAAAAGCAAAGGAGTGTATAATTATACTGATATTTTTTGTCTTTTTATCCTTTTTTTCCCCCCAATATCATCTGTGATGCTACTTGTAAAGATTTACTTCCAGCTTTTGACTTCCTTAATGTAGCTCTTTGTTGTCATTTGTTTGTAGGATCTCCATACACAAGGTACAAACCAAGAACAATCTATCCTGTATCCATGAACAGTATCTGAACACGGTTTTTTAAGAGATTGGAAAATATCTCAATGCTAAACTTTGGTTTTTATTAAATTTTTTAGCTGATTGCCAGTATTAGTTCCTCAATTCTTCTAGATCTAAATTTGTCTTTTCAAATGCTTTGTATATTTTGTACAGGTCCTTTTCTTATTGTGCCTATGTTGAAGATACTTTTGGTTGTCAGTCTAGCAGTCATAAATGCCTGAGTGACATGACACTCACAGAAGCAACTACCTATGGCTTTACTAAGCACTTGAAGCACTCGCAGCCTATAATGTGTTTATCTGGAATACGACAGGCTTGGAAAATCTCCCTAGATACATAAGTGATGTTGCAGACCTGTTTATATTATCTGCTGGCGTTGATTGCGTTTATTTTCCTCTACTGTAGTTCTTGTGGAGAGAATCATCTCATACCCGTACTGTAATCCCTGTTTCGAGGTTGGTATTGGATACATTTCTCAGTTTTTTTGTTTCTGAGCAATGCTGAGTTACACTGCTACTGCTTCTGATATCTGGGCTTTGTTAAATCCCTACTTACAAGAACGTTTCCTGCTGAAGCAGTGCTTCAAGGCAGTAGCTATAGTGTGTGCCTTCTGATGGGGCTCTTTTGTGAATCATGACCCCTTCCCAACAACCCTTTGAAAACTGTTGCTGATTAACAGTTCATGAAATCAGGCACACCAGCTACATCATGTCCATTGGTAGGAAATTGTGCTTCAGATAGTCTAACTCCTCACTTCTGCTTTTTTTCCTGTACCATGAATTGGTTTCAAAATCAATGCAAATCCATGGTGGGTTTGCAGCTTGCAATGTTTGGTGAGTACGCACCATATGTTAGGTGAAACCTCTGGGTTAAATCTATGTGAAATGGCTATGCTAAATGTGGAGGACTAGAGAAGCATGTTGATTTATTTCAACTAACAAAATCATTCATGGAAAGAAAAAAAGGGGGCAGGGAGGAAGGCTGATCAGCAGAAGCTGATAAAAATGACAGTTCTTTTTATTCAGATAGTTATGAATGAGGCTTTAATCCACCCCTCTCACTCTGAGAACAGCCCAGATTAGTGTAAAAGGCATGCCACTGTGGCAGCAGAACAGGTGATGATACAGTGTTAAGTGACATCGTCTCCTTTACACAAAAAGACCCCCAAAAATTCTGCTTCCCTTTGGGAATTGCTTTAGCCCCCACATGTGTGGAGGATGGTTTTACTGTGGCATTTGGGCTGGCCCCGTGCTTGGGAACTGCATAAATCTCATTATGCCCTTTCACTTTATACTCTTCATTTACTTCTGCATAATCCAGCAGTTCCTCACGATGAGGGCTGTTGCAGAGATTAAAACCCAGTGTCTCTGCTGGGGAACTCTGGCACAACTGCCAGCTCTCCCGAAAATTTCTGCATGGCTGCTAAAGTATCCCCAATCTGCTTGCCCTCTTCTCCTTCCCCATGAGCTAGCAAGGGGTCATATCTCCCAGGAAGATGCCTGCCACACAGAGGGCTGCCATTTTTCATATGTTTATGAATATTTCTCAACATGCATTGTTCTGATCA